AAATCTCCCGATCAGATGCCTTGCTGTCGAATGTAGTTTATTGTCCTACTCAGAATTGATAGAATATGGATGAGGAAATACAGTAGAAAGATAAACCAAGAACTACAAAAAAAAAAAAAACAGGACATTGTGGAGTACTACGACCACTTATGCCCTGATTGGACATGTCACAAAGAATAATTAATAATGGATTGTTATGGATCTCTGGATAAAATGAAACAAAAATAATGACGTCATATGTTGTTTGACGTCATATGTTGTTTGACGTCATTTTCACCATCCTTTCTACATCCACTTTTTATCATCTTTTTTTCTTCTTACTTATTTCGTTTAAAAGTATCTTTCTACTGTAGAATGTTACGGCAGTGCATGTTGTGACTTTGGAGAGTTCCGTGTTAAAAACTAAAATTCGAGAAAAGCCATTATTTCTCTTCAATTGGTAGGTCCCCTGTAGATTACTGGGTCAATGCTTAATTATGCATTGACTTCAATTTAATACACTTGGATAAGTTGCCACTCCTTCTCGTTCCGCAGCTATGGGTTAAACAGTAAAAGCCTATCTGAGAAAAATTATTATTCTCAGAGTTGTGTTAGTGCAAGTATTTACGAAAAGCATTATTTTAAAATTAAAAGAAAAACATATTTCTTTAAATAACCTAGAAAGTTTTTAATAAACTGTGAACAATAAATAAATACATTAACCCAAAATGTGACACATTTCTTCCCGTGGGTTGAATACAATGTTTGGATTGAAATTCCGACAATGTTGCCGAGTAAGCAGAACTTACCTGAAGAAGTTCGGATAGCAAAATCGTCGAAACCTTGTAAATATAACAACCTCAAAAATAAAGACTTTTCTGGAATTTTATTTTTTAACCCAGAACTCTCCTGAGTCACAACATGCACTGCTATAACATTCTTTAGTAGAAACATACTTGTAAACAAGGTAAGTAAGAAAGAAGAAGAAGATAACGAAGAAGATAAAGAAGATGAAGAAGAAGAAGATAAAGAACAAGAAGAAGATAAAGAAGATAAAGAGGATAAAGAAGAAGAAGAAGAAGATAAAGAAGAACAAGATAAAGAAGAGATAAAGAAGGAGAAGAAGAAAAGAAGAAGAAGATAAAGAAGTAGAAGAAGATAAAGAAGAAGATAAAGAAGATGAAGAAGAAGATAAAGAAGATGAAGAAGAAGATAAAGAACAAGAAGAAGATAAAGAAGAAGAAGAAGAAGATAAAGAACAAGAAGAAGATGAAGAAGATAAAGAGGATAAAGAAGAAGAAGAAGAAGATAAAGAAGAAGATAAAGAAGATAAAGAGGATAAAGAAGAAGAAGAAGAAGATAAAGAAGAAGAAGATAAAGAAGAGATAAAGAAGGAGAAGAAGAAAAGAAGAAGATAAAGATAAAGAAGTAGAAGATGAAGAAGAAGATAAAGAAGATGAAGAAGATAAAGAACAAGAAGAAGAAGAAGAAGATAAAGAAGAAGAAGAAGAAGAAGATAAAGAACAAGAAGAAGAAGAAGATAAAGAAGAAGAAGAAGATAAAGAAGAAGAAGAAGATAAAGAAGAAGAAGAAGAAGATAAAGAAGAAGAAAAGAAGAAGATAAAGAAGAAGAAGAAGAAGAAGATAAAGAAGAAGAAGAAGAAGATAAAGAAGAAGATGAAGAAGAAGATAAAGAAGAAGATAAAGAAGATGAAGAAGAAGATAAAGAAGAAGAAGAAGAAGAAGAAGAAGAAGAAGAAGATAAAGAAGAAGAAGAAGAAGAAGAAGATAAAGAACAAGAAGAAGAAGAAGAAGATAAAGAACAAGAAGAAGATAAAGAAGATAAAGAGGATAAAGAAGAAGAAGAAGATAAAGAAGAGATAAAGAAGGAGAAGAAGAAAAGAAGAAGATAAAGAAGAAGAAGAAGAAGATAAAGAAGAAGAAGAAGAAGAAGAAGATAAAGAACAAGATAAAGAAGAACAAGATAAAGAAGAGATAAAGAAGGAGAAGAAGAAAAGAAGAAGATAAAGATAAAGAAGTAGAAGAAGATGAAGAAGAAGATAAAGAAGAAGATAAAGAAGATAAAAAGCGAATCTAGAAAGGATGGTGAAAATGACGTGAAACAACATATGACGTCATTATTTTAGTTTAATTAGCTTGCTGATCCGATTTTTCATTTTCTGTGTGCCGTGTCCCTTCAAGACGTAGGCAATCATGGCTCTCCACAATTTCCTCTAGTTTGTAGCTCTTAATAACTTTCATCTTTTTCTTATCTCTCTTAAACCTTGTTTCGCCTTACATTTACTCAAGCTCACTGAATAGGTTATGGATTTATTTTCCTCTGTCTTACTTGCCTTCAGTCTATCTTGCGAATATCAAATTTTCCAAGACCTTTTTTCCTCATTATACGTCCTAGAAATTTAAACTATCCCTTCGTGATTTAACTATAAGTGTCCTTTTTTCCATGTTCTCTAAAATTGACAGTTGCTCATCTCAGAAGTTAAGGTCAAATGTAGTGTTCATATCTTTCCTTGCGATGAGTAAAATTACGCTGTTATAAAATTAATAATTCAGGCAAAGTAAAAACAGGAATGTTTACACACCATCTCCATTACAGTGATCATAGCACTGTAAGAAAAACAAATGTCAAGATATTTTGACAGGGCCCAAACCTCAACATTTTTAATAATAATATAAATGGTTTCAAGGGTTGATTTAATGAAATATATATATATATTATAAATTAATTGATTTAAAATATGGTTTTTTTCGCTACACAGTTCCATATCCAGTTTTATATCTTACTGTTCTTTTTATTTATATACATATATATATATATGTGTGTGTGTGTGTGTGTGTGTGTAAGCATATGTATGGATATAGATCCGACAGTATGAAGAAAAATATACGGAAAAAACAAACAAAAATCCTAATATGCGATTATGCTGTTTTAATGTTTAATGTCAACGTCGGACGTTTCGGTCTAATAGACCATCTTCAGGACATATTCATAAAACATAATTAATATAGACCATATATAATTCAACATAAAAAAGACGATTGACATAAAAGCAATACCAATCCAAAAAAATAACAAATCTTTTATAACATCAGCGTTCCGTTTAAATATGATCACGTCGTCGTCACGTGGCCGATGTTGTGAAAACGTATTTTGTTTGTTTTTTCCGTATATTTTTCTTCATATATATATATATATATATATATGTATATATATATATATATATATATATATGAGAGGGATAAACAGAGAGATAGTTAGAGCGTGAGTGAGATAGATATATGACAAGATATATTGATAGATGAAGATAAAGATATTATATTCAAAACAGAGAGGTCTCCAAACGATATCTACTTATGCAACGAAACTTATTTTTGTCAGACGTCTTAACCGTTTTATCTTATTTACTTATTTGTTGCTTTCTTACGTTGGTTCGTATTTGATTGCATTTAGAGATTCTTGTAGAGTAGTTTTACAGTGGTGGTTTGTATTTCACTAAGTCGGTCCTAAAATGGTTCGACGTACAAAACGTTAGGATCTTGATATAATAGGTAATGACGCAGAGAAATCTAGTGGTGGTCGCTGATACTCTTAGTGTCCGACATCGACTGACTGACCAACTCACTGAGCGACTGACTTAGCGACTGCTACTATTTATTATAGGTGGGAGAGTCTATTAACTATAGAATAGGTGTGTTCCAGTATAACAGAGATATTGATTATTACCTGCCGTCAAATCGCTGTTATAGCTTTTCTATTCAGGATGCGTTCGGGGTTTGAAATTTAAAAAACCTTCTGGCACAGGCTTTATTTATTTCTTTGATCTAAAGCCAATTTAGATTAGTTAAAATTAAAGGAAGAAAAAAAGAAGAAAAAAAAACTTCTTGACACACAGCGATGATACCTCCAACTTATTCCGTTTACTATCACCGATACCCAGTGTATCAAAACGTTGGGTAGAAGACTGATTATGGCCAGTTAGAAATAGGGATAGGCCGGTTAACGCAAGCCGTTCTTACGATCGCCGTTTTAAAGTATTCCCAAGCATTGCTATATGACTGCGATGTGTTATTATTCAAACATTAAAAAAAAACTATTAACTTGTCACCCATCCTTCATCTTTCCAAATTTCACCCGCTTATTAACGGTGATACCGAATGAGCAAACACCCAGGGGAAATGGCTAATTGATTATGGTCGGTCAATTGACAAGAAAACCTGTAGTACTCACGCGATATTTAGCGCAGCCCACATTAATTCCTCAAGTCACAAGTTCCTATTAACAACCATCAATCAGATAATCTCAAACGCCCTGTGATCCATAAATTGTGTAGATTGATTGTTTTGTTTTTGACAGCTTAACAAATATTTTAGGTTATTTAAAGCCAGCATGGCCTGTGCATAATGATAAAATACATCCGGCAGCAAAACCTCTGATCAAGAGGTTTTGATGAGCATGGAACCAGATCTTATTTGTTGTTGTTCCCCGGTCCATCCTGACCTGTGGCAGTAGCACCTGTTTGGGTCCCATCTATGGGCAAATAGTTAGCCACAAAGCTGGTGTCAAAACACTATGAACGTATGAAAAATAGTAAAAATATCAGTAGTACATTTTCATAGTTAAAATAATTATTACCAATAAATTTTGAAGAAAAAAATATTACCAGCAATACATTTTTTTTGTAAAAAACTTTATGTTCTCAATAATATTAAATTTTGAAATTAAATGACCCATAAGGAATTGATATGCCACTAAATAAACAAACAAACCCAATTTAAAGCCAGAAAATATTTTTAGTTTGTACAAATGTTTCTTTTCGAGATAATAATGCTTTAGTGATAAAAAGTGTTATTGATTCATCCACAGCAGGAAGGAGAATATGTGGATTCATGCCTTTCTAATGGGTAACGTGAATATAAACCAACTGGAATTGGTACTCGGTTCTCAGATTAAAAATTTTATGTGGTTATCCATTACATCTCACTCTCGTTCTCGTCCAAGCTAACAGCATCAAGTATTCCAAAGTGGTCACCCATCTAGGTACTGACCGGGCTTGATATTCCTTAACTTCAATGATCGTACGAAAACCGGCGTTTCAACGTGATATGGCCGTAAGACTACCTAGTTTATCATTAGGCCTTTTTGTCAATTAATTGTTGATCAAGATTCTGAATACTTGGATTGTACATCTTAATCTAGCCATGAAATACAGTTTGTCTTCGAGTTAAAATGTGGTTGCTTTCCGAACAACTTCTTCTGAACATGACTCGTAAGTTCGAGTGGGTGTTTGAAAAAAAAATAAAATAAAAAAAAGTCAGTGACAAATTGTTTTGTACCCGCAGTTTAAAGCATCAACCAAATAGCTAAGACATGATTGTTGTTGCACATTCCTAAAAGCTCTCAAATCAACTTACGTTTATTTGCATTGATATGGAAAAAACTCAAGATGAAAGGACTTACCTTTCTGTTGTTTCAGGTTGTCTCCGTTTCATTATGTGGTCGATTTTCGACAGCGTCTTCTTCTTCTCTTGTAACGGCATTCACCCTGGGTGAGTTGAACCGGCTCCAATTGAATTCACCGCATCGCATCGCGCGTCAAGGCCAACCACGCCCGTCGATCGGCAGCAGAATCGACGGCATGATCGAGACATTCGCGATTCAAGCGTCGGACCCCGAAAACGCGAGGACCGGACATGAGTTCCATATCTGCTTTGAGCCACGTCTTGAGTTGACCACCTCGGCGCTTCCTCCAACCAGTGGGTGCGTTTACGCAGCTTTCTTGGGTCGTATTCTTATTAACATTATCTTCATATATCTCTTTTATTTTTTCGCTTTTTAGTTAGCCTGTCATATCTTTTTTTCTTTCTTTCTATCTCGTTCAATGATTTCTTTCTCTCTATTCTTTATATTTCATACTCTCTCCCCTTATTATCCCCACCATCTTTCTTTTCTTCTTTCTTTTTTGTTCTTAATTTTTTTTCTTTCTTTCTTTGGTCTCTCATTCTCTTACACTTTCTTTGGTTTCCCTTGCGTATATTCTTTCTTTCCAGTTTTCTTTTTTTTTTTTTGTCGTTCTTTCTTTTTACATACTTACACGTTCTTAGACTCCCTTTCTTTTTTTCCCCTTTTCCCTCGATCTTCCTCCACATTTTTTTAGTTACCTTCTTTTTCGCTCTTTCTCTTTGTTCCCTGTCTCGTCTTTTTTTTCTTTCGCTGTCGTTTAATTCTACCTCTCATTTTTTTTCTATTTTTGTTTTCTTGTTACATGTTACTTTACTGTCTTAAAGAAAAAAAAAGATTTTCGCTCTTCAAAGTAAAATTGTTATAGTCAACATCTGCAAGTCGACAGCAAAAAAAAAATCATATCGAAGAAATATGTAAGATGAAGCTGTGAAATTTATGAATGTTTATTAGGACATCTCACCGTATACATGATTAATTTGTTGTTTCTTTTTTTGTTTTTATATCAATTTTTTATATCAATACGCTTATCTCAAACTTCTTGCAATAACAAGAGATAATTAAAGAAGTCTAAGCCTAGACTAGAACATCATAAGTATTAGATCATTGCAAAAGTTAAAGGCCCATTAGAAAACAAAAACACAATTTTACATACTCAGGAAAGACATATATTATCGTTGAAACTTGACTAATGCATGGAATAATAATGCAACACAAAATGTACTTAGAAGAAAATGTATTGAAACAAGAAAGTGTACACAATATTTACATATAGTCTTTTGTATATTCCTGGTAAGACCGTTCCTGGAGAATGTGTTGACTGAGTCACAGTCGGGCAGAGTTTCTGGTTGAATCTCTTGATTCCTGTATTTATCTATCCACCCACGAAGATAAAATGTGGCACAAGGCCGGTTTAAAGTGGGTATCTCCGAGCCCGTAGACTCGGCCAAAATATGGCCTTTCTGAATCCGCCTAGACGGGTTCAAGGCCTGTCTACCACCCCGGACGAAACCCTGCCTCTCGGCAAAGCCTCGTCCGGGTCCCTCACTGCAAAATGCAGAGAGTTCGACTGAGAGTGAATCTCTCGATTCCCCCCTCTCTTCCCGGTACCAACCATATTTATATAGTCGGTACTCCACTATGCAAATTAGGTTGGATCCTACCACAACAATTAGTGAAGTACAAAGTCCCATTGTTTTATTTGAATAAGGTTTGGAAGCAGTTTTGACAGCATCTTGCCAGTTCCACCTGAGGTTATCGAGGAAGAACAGATCTACTTCATCGGAAATTCTCGAAATGTTCGTATTATAAACACATAAACTTCGTATGATATCTCCTTCCGTGTTGGTTTTTGGGGAAAATCCAAAGCTAGAGACGCTCACCCAAGCCACATGTCATCAGCATGATGGAAAACAGTTGGCGAAGTTGATTTGGTGATTTTCTGACTGCTGCCTCCTTCCCCGTCTGGTTCCTGTGGATATCATCTTCTAGTAGTCAATGTTTGGCTCAGGTTATTCTGTAGGTCGTACAGACTTCTCCGTTATATCTTCGCAGATCTGAGAATGATGTAGGACTTCTGACGGTGTGCACCACCAGATGCAGAAAGAAACACGCTTGCTTACTGGGAGGCACAGAGTACACCTGCCCAATAGTCCCGCTTCTGAAGACTGCATTTTCTTCCCAGCCCTCGACTTATGCTCCATACTTGCGCTTTCTCCATTTATTGTGTGCCCAGGGATAGTAGACAGGAACCTCAACATAGAGCAGTGTTCGGGCAAACAGGTCACTTTGGCATAATTCGAAGAAAGATCTCAAAGTGGCTTCTTGTGTATTCTCAAATAAGTTTCCAGCAGAATCTTCTGTGAAATATACAAGCTCTCCATTTTAAGGATGAACGGTTAGATTGATCACTTTTGGATGTCGATTATGATTTCGAAGCACAGGATACGCCACAATGCCTCGTTGGAGGAAATATATCTGCCAAACTGATAGGGCTACACATTCATAGGACTACACATGCGCATGGTAGAAAGGTGCTAGGAATTCTATAATTTTTTTTTTTATCAGCCGAATTCATTTAGAGTCTTTTCCTTTGTATTTTCATCACATTTATAAGTAGGTATTCCAGATAATTCATTCCTGGTATATGTTCTACTAGCCCAGTGTGGAATGCCGACTTATAAAAGTGATGGAAAGAAAAAGAAAAAGACTCTAAATGAATTCGTCTATGAAAAAAATCTAAAAACTATAAGTACAGATTTCAATATTGAATGAAGTGACAGGTTTAAAAAACAATTCTTTATTAAATTTTGGATTTACGTTTCGCTTCGAATTGATTAAACCGTCATAATTAAAAGTAAAGCTTAATAGGGAAGAGTGAGTGGATCATGCCGACTAGGGACGTTTAGATTTTTAAGAAGGATGTCTATTCCACAGCTAGATTTTGTTTTACAAAGACGGTATATAGCAGGAAAGTGTCCTACAAGCAGATCGTTATTTCACAGACAATAGCAACCACAAGGTTGAAATCTGAGGTTAGGTAAAGTGTTTAATTGCAAATAAGGACAATTTCAAAGGTATTTTACATTTAAATCACCGAATGGATCGAGCCAATTTATTTGTATTTAATAAAGTCGAACTTGGCAAATTTAATGATGCACATGGCGAAATTTGAAAATAATTTTTTTGCAATGTAAATACAACACGGAGATTGTATTCAAAAGAAAGACTATGATGAACTAATATTTTAAGTAAAGATTATATTTAGAAAATAACTTGCGATTCATTCAGATGTTGTCTCCTAAATTTTTAGATTCGAATAAAGATCTATATCTTTCTGGAATTTTTAAGCTTTATAAGAGCTTAAAAAAAAAAATAATAAGCCTACTAAAAGACTGGATGTTAGTTTAACGTGTATGCAAATATTCATCAATATTGTTTCAATGGTTTAGGCGGCAACTTCATTCTGACAAATAGAAGGAATTGTCATTTATGTGTATATAGATTGAATTATGTCAATTAAATTCATCCATAATTAGCCTATATTTTGTGTTAACCTGATGAATATTTATGCGGGTATCTTAAATTCAAAATTTTAAAAATTAACAAAAATTTCTTTTGTGCTTATGAATTCGTTTTGCAAGATACATTCCTTGATAAAGATTAAAAGAGGGCAAAAGCCATTGGCTAAGATGAGCTGTTGCTTTGTTTTTAATCATATATTTGAAGATTACATTCAAGCATGGAAAAGACTGTTGTTCATAGTATGACGTAAATATAGATTTTTATCATTTTATATATATATATATATATATATATATCTATATCTATATATATATATATATATATATATATATATATATATATATATATATATATATATATATATTTATATATATGTATGTATATATATATATATAGAGATAGATAGATAGATATTATATATATATATAAGGATAGATAGATAGATAGATAGATAACCTTTCCTATGAAAATGACTACAATGTGGTGACTTACTTGAAAACATGAAAAAAAAAATCCTATAACTATTAATGCACACATAAAAAGAAAATCCTTACATCAATTTAAAAAAATAAAATAAGAATTCATCCTTGATAATGGCTAAAAGAATAAACAAAAGCGCGCGAATATGCAGAATTATTAGCCAATTATTAGGCAATTTATGTTCAGAAAAGAAAACAATTATATGAACATAGGAAAAATTAAGTGAAAAGATTAATTACAGTACATTTATGTGTTATTATAGTACATTTTTAGTCAAATTTAAGGAAAATTTATGAGTGTATATCCTGAGCGCTGCATGCCAGTTGCTCGTTGGTCTAGGGGTATGATTCTCGCTTCGGGTGCCAGAGGTCCCGGGTTCAATTCCTGAACGAGCCCAATTTGTTTATATATATATTTTATATTCATATAAATGAACTGAAGTCAACAAGCTGTTTCATGTTAAACACAATCATTTTATATATATATATATCCCAAAAATTCTTTTAAGTATATATATTGAGTATTCTCCTAGACTCAATGAATTATTTTTTTTAATATTATATATATATATATATATATATATATATATATATATATATATGTGTGTGTGTGTGTGTGTGTGTGTGTGTGTGTGTGCTTACATATACAAACACAAAAATCATGCATGTATATATGAGATGGAAGTGTATTTTCTTAGCCGACGCTGTTTTCCCTCAGATGGACTTTATCAAGGCAAATGTAAAGAGTTTATTTTGCCACAACTATTTATAAATTTTTCTCTCAAAATATTCTTGAAAGGACCACTTTTAGCTTTTCACAATATAGAGATACCAAAATGTCATTAAGTGGAGACCCCATTTTTTACAGCAATAGCAATAATAACAAGGACAAAAAATAGATAGAAACTGGTCTATAAGAGTTCCTTAATTTAACTCCTTAAACACTACTATCTAAAACAATTTATCTAATCGTAACAATACTGAAATAAGTACACGCTCAAATAAAACTGTTATGGATATGATCAAAACCATAAATATACATAGCAACAATAAAGTGAAAGCGGGTTATATAAAATGAAAGCGGGTATATATAAAATGAAAGCGGGTATATATAAAATGAAAGCGGGTATATATAAAATGAAAGCGGGTATATATAAAATGAAAATGCCATAACTGCTCCTCACAATACATTGGAAAAAAAATAAAGAAATTAAACCAAAACAAAACAAAACGTATCAATGAATGCAAAAAAGGATCTTATACACAACAATTTATCAAATGCAGTAGTTATACATAGACATAAATTCAACCATAACTGCAATTTAAAAATATGGAATGACACACATGCTAAAAAAGAAATTAACTTACTGAAACTTGAAAGTGCCACAATCAAATCTTTCAAAGTATAAAATTGCGACCCAGATTTTTTCAAATATCTCCATGAAAGAAATATTATTTTTCCAAGCAAGCATACATGACTATAAAAATGTTGAAACATTAAAAGAAATAATAACCTTCTACTTTAAAAAAAATTATCTAATACATAAATTAATTATAAAGGAACATGAAATAAGTCTTAATAGTATTACAAAACAAAAAAATCAACAAGTTTTCCTCACTTTTGCTTATTAGACATTAAATTAGGTCACCTAGCTTCCACCATTATTTACCTCGATTTTTCAAATAACCTGATGAATATTCATGAGCGTTCTAAAATTTAAACATTTTGAAAAACTAACGGCAATTTTGATTTTGTTTATAAATATATGTTACAAAATAAAACCCTTGCAATTGCCTTGCTAAAGTACCTCAGATGTCCAAAGGCGTCGAATAAGATAAGTTTTTCCTTTTGACTTTTTTTTATATTGCCCATTCACATATACATATATTTAGTTATATTTAAAATTTTACACACAGACACACACACATATATATATAGATAAATAGCCAACGACATGTAATATTATAGCGATTTTCAAAGTGAAATCGATTTTTAGAAAAGAACAGCTTAAGAAATTGTGAGGAATTTAATGTGACTGTGTGGGAATGATACTATTTTTTTCAAACTAAATATCTTTTGAAGCATTTAAAAAATGTCAGTGTGACGTTGTCGTTACAATTTTTCTTCCTTTTCTATTTTACTTAAAGGCGAAGTCGATTCAACACAAAAGATGTGCTAAACAGGCGCAAAAGCCTTTCGAATAAAGATATAAAAAATATAATGTGCAAAAAATTTCAATGAAAAAAAAGTAACAATATAAACAGTGTTAAAGAAAGGAGTCACATGTATTCGGGAAAATTGTTTCAATGGTTATAAAAAAAAAAGAAAACCAGAGAGGCAGGGTATGCTTAATATTCGTACGTGGAGGTGGGTATTATTTAAATAATAATAAAAATTAAAAAAAAAAAAATCTCTCCGCCAACGACATTCAAATGAATCGCGCGACGCAGGGAGTGAAGGTCGGAAATGCGAAAGAAATACATCAAGATCGAAAAGCAACAGAAAATAATGACAGCAAAGAAAACAGAACAAGCTATAAACGTACACGTTAAATGCGATAATGTAGATGATTGTATAAAATAAATGATTGAAAGACGGTGGGGGGAATGAAAGCGAGGAAGAATTAATGAATGAACGAGGGATTGAATTAAGGAATGACAAAAAAAAAACAACTTGAAAGGAGAAAGGTAAAAGCGATAGGGAAAAATCGCTCCCAGTTGGTGTGTAAATGCTCTAAAAAAAGGATAATTGATGAAAAAAAGGACAAAGTATACAGGTAGACTATTGACCGTCTAAATGGGGAGAGTCGTAGGTGAATAAAATGGCGGAGTGGGACGAATTGAGAAAGGTCGGCGTCGTAGGGAATTAGAAGAGAGAACCGCAGTAGAAAGAAAGAAAATAGAGACGATTCTGATGATAGAAATGATAGAGTTATTTATTTACTAAGTGTTGCTTTGACCTACCACAAGGCCGAAAATATGTAGCACAATTAATCGACAGGGACAAGCTTGTTAACCATTATACCACGTCAAAGTTCCTTCGGTACATCGATAGTTAGATATCAATAACAAAACAGACATATATATATATATATATATATATATATATATATATATATATATATATATAGATAGATAGATAGATAGATAGAGAAAGATAAATAGATAGATGAATATAGATATATCGATAGATATGTGGTTTATATATATTTAACCCTTTTGTATCTGATCTTAAGATTTTGACCAGGGGTATATATATATATATATATATATATATATATATATATATATATATATATATATATAGAGAGAGAGAGAGAGAGAGAGAGAGACAGACAGACAGATAGATAGATAGAGAGAGAGAGAGAGAGAGAAAGAGCTATTAACGACAAAACAGACAGATATATACAGTAAGAGACAAAAAAGTGAACGCACCCATACCAAGTCAGTAATAGAATTCTTTTATTAATGCAGGGTATTAATATATCTGTACACATGTACATTATACAAGCAAAAAAACTGCTTTAAAGAATAAACGTTATTTAGAGAGGAAGCGAAACGAGGTTAAATTGCATCTCTTCCAGTGGCCTAATCATAACCCTTTCAGCGATAATGGACGAACATGCCAGCAATAGGAAAGTTAACACACAAGATGAGCTTTTTCGCAGATTAAAGGAATACTGGATAAATTTGGCGAAGAAGGTAGACTTACTAAAGAATTTAGTCTATCGCATGCCAAGGCGAATTAAGTCGGTTAGCCAACAAAATGCAAATGATTTTTGAGTTGTATAATGTACATATGTACATCTATATTAATAAAATAATTCTATTACTCACTTGTTTTGGTAAAAATACAAAAATCGACTTTCTATTGATACGTACATTTTTTTTACCTACAAAATATATATATATATATATATATATATATATATATATAAAGAAAGAACAGTAAGATATATAAACCGGTGTTCTTATAGATATTTTTATTTTTACAAAATAGTGCTCAATGTAAATTTACAGAGCATTAATATTATAAATTGATTTATTTAAAATATGTTTTTTCGCTACACCGTTCTAACCATGTTTCAAAAATGGAAAATTAAATTAAATTCGTAGCTTTTAGCTTCCATTTTTGAAACATGGTTAGAACTGAAAGTATATGCGGGGAAATGAATATTAGAAGAAAAATAAGAAAGAAGGAATGAAGAAACATTTAATAGAAATTTCTGGAAAAGGAAAGAAAGAAAAAAGAAAGAAAATGAAGATAGGAGTGTACTGAAAAGAATGAAAGAAAGAAAGCAAGAAAGAGAAGGAAAAGGTAAGATAATGTATATAAGAAAAATCTATATCTATAATTCTCAAAATGTGTGTCTGTGTGTGTCTATGTGTGTGATCGGATGTTGTTTCTGCGTTTCCACAGTTTTCATCTGATTTCGATGATTTTTTTTGTTTGACAGATAATTCCTCAGTGCCAGTTTTGAGTCCAAATTTTTCTCGACGATGGCTCTTCACTACTACTTGTGCATTATAACTCTGAGTAGTGTTTTACTACTTACTGATTCTTGGATATATATCTTTCATAAAAACTGTAATAAAATAAATAGTTTAAATTATTACAATAATGTTATCTATATTTATCTATATATCTCAATATGTGTGTGTATATGCGCGTGTGTCTGTGAGTGTGTGTATGTGTGACTGTATGTTGATTTTGTGTTTCCACATTTTTCATCCGATTTTTTTACACTTTGCGCATAAATCAAAGGCAAAATATAATTTAAATTTTGACACAAATCTTTCCAATCCCAGCTCACGCTGTGTGCGCGTGATTCACACCTCCACATGTTGCCCATCGGTCGCTGCTGATGTATGGCCCTGTAGCACGCGCTGATGCACGCGCATAGGCATGACCTGTTGAACGCGACACCTGTTCGAGTTGCCCACTGGCTGCACGAAGCAACTTTACATGTCCAATCAAATGTCGCCGTATCATATTGTCTTTGTTTACGCAGTCCTAAGCTCATTGCTACCGCTTAATTCCTCTTCTACTTCTGTAATTGCAGGCTTGCTTACACATTCCCCTTCTATTGGCCAATCTATCAAACTCTCTCAAGTGAAGTTGCCTTTTCCGTTTCATAAAGCCTACTACTACAGTTTTATGGCTTTGCTTTCTTTGACGTTTATAGCCGTTCCCAATTGATTTGTTTATTATCCTGCCAGTTTTTACATTGCATTCACCGTAATAATAAGTAAGCTTGCTTTATTATTACTCCACATTTATTATTCCAACGTTTCCACGCATTCCATTTGAGAATTTATATTTGCTTAAGACATGCCACCAAAGAAAAGAACTTGCCTATGTTGCAAAACCATTGCCTCCAGGTCCGCCATCTTTAGAACGTTCAGTTTGCCTGTCTCAAAATGAGTCTTGGAATGCTTCAATCAGAGCCATTGGGTTTGGTGAGTAACGTAGCCATCGGCTTTCCAGAAGAGCACACCTGAACGCTTCTGCACAAGGCTGAAAATGATTGTCAAAGGACTCAACAGCTGAGGAGAAAAGCCTCTCCAACTGCTGTGTGCGTGAGGATGAAGCTGCTGATCAAAGGATTCAACGACTGAAAAGAAAAGCCTCTTCAACTGCTGCTGCCGGTGAGGCTGAAACTGCTGATAAAAGTACTCAAAGGCTGAAGAGAAAAGCCTCTTCAACTGCTGCTGCGCGTGAGGCTGAAACTGCTGATAAACGGAATCCAAAGGCTGAGGTGAAACGCTTCTGTGTGTCAGGCTGAAACAAGATTGGGAAGTCAAAAACGGCACTTTTCAGGGCCACCCTCCATTCAAATTGTTAACCCCCATTTTGGGGATGTGCCTCAGTCGCACCCAATTGTTATTACTAATATTAACTTCCGGGAGGAGGGCTGACTTTGAAATTAAACTGCTCCAAATACACGGCAAAAATTCCCAGTAATGAAAGACCTGGTCGATGGCGGGTTATACTGCTAGTTTATATTAAAAGAATGAAATAACAAAGAATGAACGTTAAAAGTGATGGCAATTTATACAGATGACAATAAATTTCAACTGCTTTTTCTGATTCAATGTTATGAATAAGAAAAAAAAAGTAAGGAAGAAGAAGATGGAAATATACAAAACGAGAACGAATATATTGAGTTTAAGGGTGTCACTAATTAGTATAGATTAAATATATGGGAGGAAGAAAAGAATTTGAATAGAAAAGAAAGAAAGAAACAGAGAGAGAATGATGGTAAGGAGATATTTGGAGAAAGAAAAAAGATTAAAAGAAAAATGGAAAGATAAAAAGGAAGAAGGAGAAACAGAATTTAAACGAGATAAACAGAAATATATTTAAAAAGAAGAGAGGAACTGAACATTTTTAGAGTTATAATAATGGCAATATTCATAAAAGCATATCAAGAACTGCCGGGAAGAAATAGTGGTTTTAGCGGGGAAAATCAGAAAAGGGAAAAGAAAGGAATCTATTTAAAATAAACGATTCATTTAATAATAATATTTAATTATTTCTTAATGACTGAAAGAAAGAAAGAAAGAAAGAAAGAAAGAATAATCAGACTCTTCGCGGAGAAAGAAAGAAAGAAAGGATAATCAGACTCTTCGCGGAGAAAGAAAGAAAGAAAGGAATGAATAAAGAAAGAATGATAGAAAGAAAGAAAGAAAGAAAGAAATGAATAAAGAAAGAATGAAAGAAAGAAAGAATGAAAGAAAGAAAGAAATGAATAAAGAAAGAAAGAAAGAAAGAAAGAAAGAAAGAAAGAAAGAAAAGAAAGAAAGTGACTAAGAAAGAACATCGAAAGAAAATAAATGATAATCAGACGCTATGCAAAGAAAGAAAGAAAGAAAGAAAGAAAGAAAGAAAGATGAGAAAAAGAAATAAAGAAACTGATAATCAAACGCTATGTAAAGAAAGAAGAAAAGAAAATCAGAAGAAAGTTAGAAAGAAAGAAAGAGAGAGAGAGAAAGAAAGAAAGAAAATATAAGTAATCAGTTAAGATAAAAAGTAGCGAATGAGTAAAACATTTAAAAGCGATAAAAACAATGGTTCGATTAAGGTCATTGTTGAAGACTTTAAACAATTACAAAGAAATATTCAACGTTTGTTACGAGATTCAAAGGAAGTTGTTTATTACATATTCTTAAAACCGAGAAAAATTTTGCATCACAATACATCACTGGGTATTTGATCGTTACGAACAGAAAATAAAAAGCTTTTTCTGGGTGAAAAGTTTGGATTAGTTTCTCCGTTACATGTTAACATCTGTCCAGAGTCTCAAGAGGAGAGAAAATCTTCAAGAATCAGCCTATTCCCCAGACATCTACCGAACAGACTACCAGAAGTTCCACTAGTTAGTAAAGATCAGCTGCTCCGCAATGGAATATATCGAAAACTCCATCGAAGAGACAAAACCTGAATAGTTACTGCATGATAAAACAACGTATATTAAAACTGGCATATCGTTATGTTGTAACCGAGGGAAGATTACTGAATAGAATAATTAAACAAAGGTTGGTAATAAACGATAATACTTAGGACAAGAACAACACATATAAGATTCACTAGCAGCGCGTAGAAGAAGTAGTTAACTGCTAGAAGTGACTCAAGTGAATTCCACAATCAATCTCAAACTGCAGGATATCTACCAACCACCCCACGCGGTCAGATGTGGCACAAGACCGAATTTAATGTGGGCTATCCGAGCCCGTAGGCTCATCCAAAAATTACCCGTAGACCCCGTCTAAAACGGGGTCGGGTACCTGTTTCCGGAGACGAGACTCTGCTCTTGGATATAGCTTAGTCTGTGGATCCTCTATGCACGGAGGCAGAGAGTTTGACCAGCACATCTGGAGACGAATCTCTAACACTTACCACATACAGTATCCACTACCGTATTTATGGGAATGGGGACATACCTATTAATATCCTTAGTTATTCTGCAATACGTTAATACTGGCGGGGAGAAATAATTTAATATTTGCAAAAAGATGCTGTTATAACGGGTAAGAGTTTTTTTCTCCCATTTGAACTACCCCCGTTATGAATGTTATTATATCCTAGATATAACACTATAATTCAGTGACGGAACGGAATGTCTGAAAAGAAAATGAATGACAAACACGTTTTGTTCTCAGAGAGACATTTATAGCACTAAAACATACACAAAACTATATATGCATATTTACATCTGTCCCACGCATAGAATAATATATATCTACACAGCAAGGAGTGTGTGAAGAGAAGAAAAAGGAAGGGTATTGCATATAATAAGGAGATTCTTCTGTGTTTCTGACGAAGTCAAGATTAGCGCTCCAAATTCAAACGAGCCGGATACATTTATTATGCCCCAGGCGAGAACATATTCCACAAAGGGGAAACGGTAAGACTTGTTTTTTTTTTATCAAATTGGGAACTGCGAGCCGGAATTTCTTTCTATATCTGGGGAAGGAAACGGCAAGCAGTTGAATTTGCTCGAGGAAGCAGATTTAGCCGTACTCCAGGCCCCTTGGCAGAGACTAAAAATAGCAACTACTCTGTTTGGCTGCAGTAATTAAACTGAATGACTGGACACTCACGTCACCGTATGGCGTGACATGACTAAACGAGCCTTACATGACCCATTTGACTTATTTCCCCCAAAGGGAGAAAAAGACCTTCTGTATCCGTACACGTTGACATAAACATCACAATATAATTCAATTTTACTTAAGACATTTATTAAGCTCTGCCATTATTTGCAAGCAATTATGGAAATTTCCGTTTCGATTGAGAGGAATGACGAAAGTAAAACATCTAGTAGAGAGGTGGTTTTGTTTGAGGAAAGGAAAGAACATTTAATAAAAAAGAAAGAAAGAAAGAAGAAAGAAAGAAAGAAAAAGGAAGGAAGGAAGGAAGGAAGGAAGAAAGAATTGGAAGTATGGGTTACGCCACTTGACTTTACCAAAACGCATGTTAGAGAGATCTCTTTAAGCCTATAAATCGGCAGTCATATTCACACCCCTCCTCTCTCTTTAACTTCCAGATGTAACCCACCTCGATAAACGATGCTGCCGTCGGGGCGCATTCGTTTCCTTCGCCTGCTGACTTTTAAATTCTCAAGCACATATACACACACGTGTCGAAAACGCAGACAAACACATATCCTTTTATAGTTAAAGTCAATGTGTCTTTCTTTCATTTCCATTGTGTATACATGTACGTCCTTGTGTAACTTAATGGAAATATCCGCCTTAGTTTCCTTTTAGAAATTTGTTTGGCCATGAAAAATCCGTGATTGCATGAGATTTTTATTCTGCTTTGACACTGTTGTTTCGACTGTTGATTAGTTATCCTATGACCATTGTCTGCGATGGACATTACTCCTAGTTACGAAAATTGTAACCGTGCACGAAAAAACTTGCAAGTCTTACCAGTGAGCAAATCAAAGTACTATAGACTGGCCCAGAAACTCTTCTGGTTTAAACCCAATCCAGAATCTGTGGTCAATCTGCAAGGAACGACTTCGTGGAACGGACATACGAAAAAATTAAGTAATAACGGAATTATTCGTCGTTGTTTCAATTAATATGCAAAGGGGTGTAATTCTTTTTTTTTAATAACATGCATTGTCGATTGTTTTATATTTAGTGTATGTGTTTCTTATTTTCACACGACTCACATAGAATCCGCCAATATTGTTTTCAAGATAAATGTTCTCGAGGTGTATAAATATTTCATATGCAAGGTGTTGATTCCCACAACATTAAGGTATATAATATTTCTAACCACAAAACACACAGCTATCCCACTACAGAAAATAAAAAAAAGGAGATAACGCTCACATACGTTTAACGCCTTGTTTCATTGAAATGGAAAACATACCAATTTTTTTTAAAATTCATTTTTCCCCTCTTAATTCATAGAATAATTGTCTTTAAGTTATATTTACCATTGCTATTGAAATATTTTGTTGAAGTAATTAAGCCCTACTTTGTAATGGGTCAACAAAGAAACTTCCACGTGTTGGGTATAGATCCTAGCAAAAATCTTAATAAATCATAAAAATTAAATATTATACTACATCAGAAAATTTAAACAAAAATTCCGTCACTACTAGTAAAATGATTATATACAAATATCAAGAAGAATAAGGTAATCTTATAAAAACATTTTACATCACATTTATGCGATGGAAAGCAGCAGTGTATATATATATATATATATATATATATATATATATATATATATATATATATAGATAAGAACGTTTAATTGGATCATATATTCTCCCCGCGTAGTTTCCTATGAACAAGCCCTAACAATTTCTTATTCCACGGAGAGGAGATAAAAAGTTTTCTCTTGAAACGAATTGAAAAACCCAGCATGTATCTCCTAAAATTATCTAAGTTAAGGAACCAAACACCCTACAACAAAGATGTATAAGTATCACCATGCTCTATCTCATGCTGGGTATAAAAAGCATTATATTATTTGCAACAGGAGCTTGTAATAAAAATGTATATATCAATAGAAGTCTCACCAGAATTTATGTTATTGAACCGTAGCTTGTGAAACCATTTGGACTAATAATAAACAGCACTTATACGTAATAAATAATATAATATGTCATCGTTTCTTATATATATATATATATATATATATATATATTTGTGTGTGTGTGTGCGTGTGTGTGTATACGTATGTATGTGTGTATATATATCTATATGTGTGTGTGTGTGTGTGTGTAGGTAGGTGCGTATTAGGATATTACAACAAATATATGGATATAGATCCGACAGTATGAAGAAAAATATACGGAAAAACGAACAAAAATCCTAATATGTAATTATGATGCTTTAATGTTAATATAATGTCAACGTCGGACGTTTCGGTCTAATAGACCATCTTCAGGACATATTCATAAAACATATTTAACATTACACTATATTCAATTCAACATGAAAACACGATGGACTTAAGAGTAAGACTAATCAAAAAAGTTAACAGAAATTTTTCAAGATCAGCGTTACGTTTCAATATGATCACGTCGGCGTCACGTTGACATATTAACATTAAAACAGCATAATTGCATATTAGGATTTTTGTTTGTTTTTCCATATATATATATATATATATATATATATATATATATATATAGGCCGAGAGTGTGGAGCACAGGTAAAATCAGAGAGCCGAGTTCGAATTCAGGTCGAATCCACTGGGAAAGGTATGAATCCTCTTCTTCTCCCTCCATGTATGGATAAATATCAGGACGGACAGACTGGGTTCTATAGTCTTGGATGGCAACTGGTCTAGGAGAAGGAAAACTCTGAATTCAAAACCTGCAGAGGGTCGTTTGGGGACCTTGTGGCATTCGGTGCACCAGGTCTCTGTATTCGTCCCTTCAAAAAGTGTGGATGATCCTACACGAAGCCTTCACCACTATAATCAAATCGCATGTGCCGGTGTCGGGCTGTCGGTTTCCTGGAAACTGATCTGCTTGACACTCATACGTCGAATCTCGACGGGAGAGTCTAGTATATATATATATATATATATATATATATATATATATATATATATATATACATAAATATATATATATATATATATAAATATATAATAAAAGGCATAAACACTAATATTCCATGGTCTTAAACACTAATATATATATGTATATGTATGATCAGGAAAGAAGATCTCATAAGTGCTTAACCTCTATCAAAAAGCTTCTAAAACCACAAAGAAATGTATGTATAAAGTCGGTGTCGTAGGGAATTAGAACAGCAGTAGAAAGACAGAAAGGAGAGACGATTGTGATGATAGAAATGATAGCTAGAGTAACTTACTTAGTGTTGATTTAACCTGCCGCAAGGCCTAGAGTGTGGAGCACAATAGAACGACAGGTAAAAGCTTATTAACCATTACACCACATCGAGGTTCCCTAGGTACATCGATAAATAGATATTAATAACAAAACAGACAGAAAGATAGATAGATAAGTAGATGGATATTAACAGAAAAAAAACACACACACATACATATATATATATATATATATATATATATATATATATATATATATATATATATATATATATATATATACTAGCAGTATGTCCCGGCGTTGCCCGTGCTTGATTCAAAAATCGTACGACTCATACAGCAATCGCTATCACTTGACTTAAAATATTTTTGCCCTTCCTTTAAAGGAGTGCCCTTTGACGTGCTGATGTTGCTACATGCCTTACTTCTTGCCTATCTCACACTGCGAATTTTTTCTAAGCTCTATACTAAACATTATATCTGTTACGAAAAAAGAACTAAACAAAATGAACACAAAACGATCAGCTTTAAAAAAGGACTCGTAACTGGAAAAACCGAATGAAAAAATGTTAACAACAAATACTTTTTCACACCCAACCCAGTTTTGCGGAATCAGAATCAACGTTGAGTTTAAGCAAGTGAATGAGCCATTTAGAGTAAAGTGCCATGCAGATTTAAATTTTTTCTACTTGTGACGAATGCAGCTATCGATTTTTTTGAATGCTAGCATGCTAGTTAACATTCGTGTGAGTCAGCTGTTGCCTCTTACGCTGGCCAATAAAATCTTCCTGCCTATTCGTTGCAGTCAGCTATAGGCTCCTCATACTGGCCAGTAGAAAATGGCCAAAAACTACATGAAAACTGCCGTAGAAAGATGATACTTTCCAAAGTTTCCATGCAAACCGATAACATCAAAAATTTACCTTCCCGACGAATCGACTTTGTTGTATAAATTGCGCATAATTGAAAATAACACTGGCATTAAATTTTAACAGATATAATTTATCAAAATTACACAAATAATATCTTCAAAAATAAAGAGAAAATTCATTGAATGAATTCACCATTGGCAAAAACACGGCCTCAGAACAACTTTGGAATCTTCTCTAAACCTTTTGGACGTTCTCCTTGTTTAAGTTGGTAAATACTCGTATAATCCTTGTCTTCCCTTCATCTTTGGTGTTACAATTTTTTGCTTCTATCGTTCATCTTCCACTCACACATAATAATCAAGGGGGATGCAGTCTGGGGAGTTAGGTGGCCAGATGTAAATGATGATGTGGTCGGAAAAATGACTCGGTTCTCCTGTTTGTGTGGCATGATGCAGAAACCTGTTGCCAAACAAAGGTTCTTCCGGCAGCCACTATCTATACCCATGTCAGTGCTATCTCTTCAAAGCACTTGATGCAGAACTTTGAAGACCTCACCAAAGGATTCAGGAGTTCTTCCTTTATAAGAACGACCAGAGTGAGTCGTCGTACATTCGTAATCACCGTTAGACTCTTTCCGAAACGTCTGCACTCTTTTCAGATTGAAGCACAAACATTCAGAAGTGTTCGTATTGGATCTTACGGCACAAATGCCTAGCACTACAGCATACCGTTTCAAAATTTCTGATTGAGTGAATTGTGCTATGTAGCTGTTTTTCTCACGACAAAATAAGAAACAGACAACGAGTATGCGCAAAATTAAAAATATAAAATGGTGAGAATTTACAGTCGCACCGTATACATACATATATATATATATATATATATATATATATATATATATATATATGTGTGTGTGTGTGTGTGTACCTGAAATGTGCGTATATATAAATGTATTTAGATGTGTATGAGGTGGGATCAAATATACATTGGGATTCGACAGAAGAGGAACAAATGGGAAGCCTTTATCAATCAATAATGTTTCACTTTTATTAAAGCTTCAGCAGAGAATGAGATATCGAGAAAAGAAGAAGTAAATTCTAATATATTTACTTTTATATATATATATATATATATATATATATATATATTGTGTGTGTGTGTGTGTATTTAAAAATCAAAATGCCTGATGAGTTTGTAGAACAACGAAACATTAAGTTGCACTTTGAATATATATATATATATATACATATACCTACTT